AAAACAAACGCACCCCTCAATATCCATATGGGTTTCAGAGAAGAAGAATAGTAAGTGAGAATAATGATTCAAACGAGAAGCCTTTAATAGCTGAGGTACCAACAATAAGGGTGTGTTTGGTTGGGAGTAATAGAGGATTAATAAGGTAATGTCATCTTATATTACTTGATTATCACAGTTGGTTGTCAAGTAATATAAGATTCCGATAATCTTCCAAAACCAATAATAGTTAGTATTGGTAACATAGAAGGTAATCTGATTACCTCCATTTTTTTAAGTATTTTAATATTATTTAATAATCTTATTTTTGTTGCAATTTTACCCCTTAGAGTGCATTTGGATCGGGGGCATATAAGATAATCGGGTAATCTTCGTTTATTTTGTAAGATTCTAGTATTTGATTTGCAAATAATAAAATATTATATAAATCTTTTATTGCAAATAGTGTTTATTATTGGTAACGTCGGGGATAAACTAATACCCTCACCCACCCCTAGGATTAAAACATTATCGGGTAATTTGATTTTTATACCTATTTTGCCTTTAATTAAATACCATTTTAGACACAATTACACTCAAATGTCTACCAAATAACAATTAGCTTAGCCCCTACATTTGTGCTCTGTTTTAAAACCCGAACCGGATTGGCCGGTTCAACTAGGACTCGGCCTTAACTTCGGTTCGAGTTAACATAAAAACAGGAAATAACATAAAATCCGCTTTGGACGAGTAATAGACCAATGAAATAGTACAAAATTGTCAGTCCGATCGACTCGGAGCTTAAAACGGTTCACCATTTTAGGGTTAATCTGATCCCTAATTCCTAAACCAGATTTGCAGCATCGATTCTTTCTCCATTTCATTGAGCCAGCAAGCATTCTCCATTTCATTTCAATACCATTTTCATCTCCAAAGACTAAATTGCATCTTCCATTTTCATCTTCTATTCTTCTTCACTTACTCTAAAATCTATTATGTAAAGAAGAAGAAGTAAGGGGAGAGGAAAGAAGAAGTAAGGGGAGGAGAGACGAAGAAGAATAGAGGAAGGAAGAAGATTAGAAGAAAGAAAAGATGAGAGAAGAGAAAGAGGAAGGAAGAAGAAAGAGGAGAAAAAAAAGTTAAGGAGAAAGAGGGGAAAGGGGATAGAAGAAAGAAGAAAGTGATGGGGAGAGAGAAAAAAAAGAAAAAGATAAAAGTGACGGAGAAAAAGAAAAAATAATTAATAATAAAAATTGCAGGAACTTACAAGACTCATGGGTAAGTTTTATGGGTATATTTGTAGGTTTTTAAACTTATAAAGACTAATTAAATAATTCAGAGATGTGTTTGTTGTCATACCGGTCAGACCGATCTCGACCCATTCGGAGAATTCAAGGAACCCCTAAATAAAGCTCGTTCCCTAAATGGCAAATTCATGGATTCCCCAAATTCTCCGTTTGGGGGTTTTATGTTTTTTGTGTCCTTATTACTATTTTCTCCAAATTATAATATACAATAAAAAAAAATTAAATTTATAATGATTTATTGATTTATTATAATCAATCAAAACACCAAATAAAATATTACACATATATAATATATATATTATGTATTAACATATGATTATAGATAATAGCATATTATGTATAATGTATAAGGTATATATGTTATATACATTATACTTATATACCATAGATAATGTATAATGTCGAATATATAACTTTTATTTCACACACACACACACACACACACACACACACATATATATATATATATATTTCTACAAATATTTATAATGATTTATTATATTTAATCTAGTTTTATTTATTACCTATTTTTATATGATTTCATAAAATACTTACACAACTATAATTTGTTATTGTATAATATATGATTGATTTTCAAATATTAAAATTAGTGTATATATATATTTTATTATATTTAATCTAGTTTTATTTATTACCTATTTGTATATGGTTTCATAAAATACTTACACAATTATAATTTGTTATTGTATAATATATGATTGATTTTCAAATATTAAAATTAATATATATACAGGCTGGGCTAGGGATTTCCGGCGGGAGGGGCGGTCCCAGAATTTTGGGACTAATTTTTGGCCCGATCTTGGCCCAAATCCTGAATATTTTGGGAAAACTCTGCCCCGTTTGGGCCGGGTTCTTGTGGAGTTGGGTTTTATGCTCATCCCTAAGTGGGTGGGGTGTTTTTGTTAATTTATAAACTTTTATTGTAAAAAGTTATTGTTAAATATTTTGAGTTCAATAAAATATGATTGGATTTTGAATTAATAGTCAATATTAAAACAAATATGTTTTTTATTGCTTAGGATATGATAGGATAATAGAGTTTAAAAAGTTAAAGAAAAAGGAGGGTATATATTTAACTCTAATATTTAGCTATTAATTGATTTTGAAGACACAGTCAGCTTCTTTTGGTCTCAAGCTCTTCCCAGATAGAAGACAACACAAGCTAAGGTGTTCGGAGCTCCCTGAAAAATATTAAGAGTTCACTTTATAATTCAGATAATTCACTAGATGTTGATACAGAAAATGTGATATATTTTTATAATATTATAATTTTTTTCCTAAGCAGAGTCAAATGTTTGAATTCTCTTCGTTACTTTGAAATATAAGCATTTTTTTTTTGGTAATTGATGAAGATTTTTAAGAGAATTTCAACTTTTGGCAAATTTCTAGTTTATGAGTTTATTTTGAATTAAAATAGGAAAATAAATTAAATAAAGAGAGTCCTATTATAATTTGAAATATGAATCATAGTAGAAAAATAATGTTTTATTCTATCTATAAATATAATTGGTTCTAAGGGTTATAACCAATTTATTGTTACGAGAGAAACTATATAATGGGTGGGTTGATGGTGTTATGCTTATAAAACACCATAAGGTAGAGTTCCGCCTTAGAGATTGATGGTGTTATTTACTCTTGTATCGTGTTCATAAATTTATAATAGTTTTTTCTCATCCGTAGATATATACAAGTTATACCAAATCACGTAAATATCGTGTTTATGTGTATATGATATTCTTCACATATTATTATTCTTTATTTTATTTTTTTACTTCTCCAATTTTAAACCGATGGAAATTTTATATTGACTAACATCACTATATTTTTCACAAACTTTCAACCACCACATGCATACACATACGAATTTGAATCTATCCGCAGTTCTTCGCCAATCTGAGTGTTAGAATTCTGTATCATTCACTAGAATAATCAATGTCTGAGTCTGACTCAAAAATATGTTACTGAAATTTTAAGCGAAAAATTTTGTTGTAATTGACTTACAAGAGGGTCTAATAATTTGAAAGTGACGAGTGATTTTTAATTGGTCTTAGTCTCAAGCTCTTTCGAGTGCAGAGAAGACGACATATGCTGGCAGTGTCTCCACTACAATCCTGCACCTAACCTTCAACATCATGAATGAACCATCCAGTCATCCAGAAACAAAAACAAATAAATAAAATATAAATTGAAGCTAGAATAAATGTGCAATTTATTTGTAAAATAGGATCGAGATCAAGATAAGACAGAGAAAAAGATGAGTGGTTACTTTTGAGTTTTTGATATTGTGCATTGATTGATGCATCGGAGATCGTACTTTTTTTTTTTTTGCTACCCAAGCTTTGGGAAAACCGCATGTTGGTTTCATTTATTTCAGATTTTCACCTTAAAATGATGAAGAATTAATTAATATAATGGTAAAGGGGTAAATAAATCATTTTACAGAGGTGGCGCATGTTAGCAGATTGTCGCCTCTAATAGTTCTCCGACACAGGTTAGCAGACATTTTCCTCGACGTTTTTCACTGTTTTCTAACGATTCCTCCACCCAAAATCACCCTTGTCACCGAACCTTCATCCTTCCCTCTACAAAACCTTATCCTTCACAACTGCTTATCACTCGCTGATCGCCAGCCACGGCAACCGCGTCATGCGACTGTTTTTGCCAATTTCTGGCCATTTTGAGTGGCAACAACTCCAACCACCAGCACCACCATTTGAACCTTCCCGGCCATGACATCTCACCATTTGCCGTCCACCACTTCACCAAAAAATGTGATGAACACAAACCTCTCAATCAGCGAACGGTGAGTAAACAGTTGCTGGGAATATAGGGGTTTTGTAGTGTTGAGATGGTTGTTGAAGTGGTGGTGTCCAATTGGATTTTTTCCACCAGAATCTGACGAAGAAAAGTGAAACCCTTAACCTAACAGTGCCAACGATCGGAGGGGCCAATGAGTCAGTAACCAGAGGGATTTTGGACTACAGACTATGGGGAAGGTGATGGAGGTGACCAAAGGGTTTAACTTTGTCGAAAACAGCCCAGATCAAGCAAAAACCAAGAGGTTGCACAGTCGTCGAGGATGTTATTGGAGTAATTTAAAAATAAAATGGTTAATTTTATAATTCAACAAAGTTAGGAGTTAAAAATAAATTTATTAATTTATTTGTTAAGAGCATCATGGTTATTGCACCCTTTATAACCTAAAAATTACTAACAATATTACTTTAAAGGTGAGAATATGAAATAAATAAAAATAGGAGTACCGACTGGATTTTGCCAAATCTTGGGTGGGAATATGTTGTTTACTCGATTCTAATAATATTGCAAACTTCAATGTACCATTTAACGAAATTAACGCCTAAATGCTCAAATTGTGTAACGATTTTGGACCTTCTGTCCACCGACTTGTAGATATGTTTTTTTCCGAATAAGAAAACATTAATTCTAATTTGATTTAATTTATTGATATCTTGAGAGTTGATTAATGTTAATGGTGGCCTTATTGTCATATTTAAGCAGACCCTTGAGGGACGGATATTCGTATCCTGTTCCTGTGGCCAATTTTCTCCAAAGCCGATCAATCCCCTACAAATACCCATCAAGTCTTTTGTTGCATATATTTTATAAGTGAGCATAACTAGCTCTCCCCTTTTGTTTCTGAACCGAGCTAGAGAGATCTAGTGCTTGCTGGCCATGGCCGAAGAACGTATCACCAACAATAATGAGGTCCTTGAACCCTTGTTGCAACGCAAACAATCCGCACCTGTGCCAGTGAGTTCCGCTCTTGAAGACACTCTATCCGACACCAGTTTGTCATACTTTAAACGACTCAGAAAGGCCACATGCATCGAACTCAACACCCTCTTCCGCCTGGCAGGCCCCGCAATCGTTGTGTATTTGCTCAATAACATCGTGTCCATGTCCACTCAGATCTTTTGCGGCCATCTCGGCAATCTCGAACTCGCTGCTGCCTCTCTTGGCAATACAGGAATCCAAGTTTTCGCTTATGGACTCATGGTAAATATTGATCAAACTCTACCATCTCTCCTATCCGCACATCTATATTTTCTTTATAAAATTTTGACGATAAGAATGATGACAATGACACATGATGCAGTTAGGAATGGGCAGTGCGGTGGAGACTCTATGTGGCCAAGCTTATGGGGCACACAAATACCATATGCTAGGAGTTTATCTTCAAAGATCAACAATTCTTTTAACAGCAACCGGGATCCCAGTTATGTTTATTTACATATTTTCCAAACAAATTTTACTCTTACTAGGTGAATCTAGTTCCATTGCATCCTCGGCAGCAATCTTTGTTTATGGTCTTATTCCTCAAATATTCGCATACGCTGCAAATTTTCCCATACAAAAATTCCTGCAAGCCCAAAGCATAGTCTTCCCTAGCGCATACATTGCAGCCGCCACGCTCGTGGTGCACCTTTTACTAAGTTGGCTGGCAATTTTCAAGTTTGGTTGGGGGCTGCTCGGCGCATCGTTAGTGTTGAGTTTGTCATGGTGGATTGTGGTGGTGGCACAATTTGTGTACATTTTAACAAGTGTGAGGTGTAAGCATACGTGGACTGGGTTCACTTTACAGGCATTTACTGGGTTGTGGGAGTTCTTGAAATTGTCCACAGCTTCAGCCATAATGTTGTGCCTTGAGACTTGGTACTACCAGATAATTGTTTTGATTGCGGGATTGCTCAAAGATGCAGAAATCGCCTTGGACTCTCTCTCCATCTGGTAAAATATTAAAATGCTTTCCAAGTTTGTGTGATTGGAGGTCCATTAATTAGTGGCATAAAACGTTAAAGAACTGTTCTTTTTTGACGACCAACCAAAGTTATTTAGATTTTATGGTATAACTTTAAATCAGGTGGACAAGTGTTACAATACTTAGTGGTGGTACATTCTATATTATCAAAACCTGATGGCATTATCTCAACAACAGTCAGTCAACTATTGTTTTCTTCTGAATCTTCAAAATTTGACGGCTTTTACTTAATTTGTTGTGTAGCATGACGATTTCTGGATGGGTTTACATGATTGCAGTAGGTTTCAATGCCGCAGCAAGGTAATTAATCACCAACCAATAAGGTTCATTGTATTAATTAATTTACTAGTACTGTTGATCAATTTGTGATATATATATATATATATATATACAGTGTGAGAGTGAGCAATGAGCTAGGGGCCGCGCATCCAAAATCGTCGGCATTCGCGGTGGTGATAGTAACTTCAAGTTCATTTATAATCGCCGTTATTTTGGCTATACTCGTGCTTGCATTTCGCCATAGTATCAGCTATATCTTCACCAGCGGTTCCACGGTTTCGAATGCCGTCTCTGAGCTCTCTCCCTATCTCGCTTTCTCCATCATTCTCAATGGTGTTCAGCCTGTCTTGTCAGGTAAGTTATCATTTATCATACGAAAATTTCCACCCTTTCACATCCACATATTTTTTCTTTTTTCTTTTTTTCTAAATTGATCTTGTTTGTGTAAATATATGCAATCCTAACTAACGTTCAAACTTCAAACCTAATTTTGCAATTTATGACCAATTTTTTATCTTAAAATTTCTGTGCATGCAAACCCTAGCAATGGGACACGTCTATTACAGTCTAATTAATAATCAGTACGAGGACTGAAATCTCTGTGTCTCATTCTCATGAGAGTAAAGGAAAGAAAGAAAATATTAAGACAACAATGAAAGAGACAGAGATTGAGATACGAGAGCCAATGGTCGTTCTTTAAATATATTTATTATATTCATAATGGAAGTTAAAGTTTGCAATATTCAAGTTGATTTTGTTCTTTCTCGAGAAACAAACAAACAAACTTAATTAGTACTCAATTTATGCACTCATGAATGATTGAACTAGTTAAAAGGGTTAATGACACGTATTACTACTAGTGATTGGGCTATAGTGACATATTCAAACCTTGATTTGATTAATTATCTGACAAATATTCTTTGTTATTATCTTAATTTCTACGGGTTAACGATCTTTTCTCACCCAAATAATGATTTATGACACTTTCTCATCCGTAGATTTATATAATACTATTTTACTATCCAAATTTATATTTCGGTGATGAATAGAGAATAAACTCGATTTAAACTATTAAAGTTTTTAAAGAGGTGAGACCAATGAGCCTTTTGGTAGTAAAAGATTAGATTTTGGTGGTTAGGATTTATTAAAATTTGACTTGAGAAGGGCGACTGTGCAAACCTTAATCGCTTGATTGTTGGCGATTAACAGGATTGGCGGGAGTAAGGTTTGAGGGGTTTAATGAATGATGATTGGAGAAGAAAATAGAAATGGTGTGAAGTCACAACGATATCGAAATCAAAAACAGAATATAAATTTGGATAGTGAAATGATATTTTAAGTGTCTGTGGATATTAAAATGTTATTAAGTCATTATTTGGGTGAGGAAAGACGTTTACTCTAATTTTCACTTCTCTTGAAGACGGTCCACGTGATGAATTAAACCACTTAAAGAGTTAGTACTGAAACAACCTACAACAATCGGTCTTTGATCCAGAAATCGACAGTTATAACTAGTCGTTAAGCGTCTTTTTCAATTTCTACCCTCTTTCATTTTCATTCATGCATGTTGTCTCAGCTTAATTACTCTCTTGATCTTAATGAAATGGCAAATCATATAGGAGTGGCTGTTGGATGTGGATGGCAAGCATTTGTTGCTTATGTGAATGTGGGTTGCTACTATATTATTGGCGTCCCATTGGGTTGCCTTCTCGGCTTCAAATTCGATTTTGGTGCTAAGGTACTTAATTACTTCATCAAGGAATTGTTATTAATTAATTTGAATCCATGACCTACCTCTAATTAGTTTGACGGTTCGCTTGGAACTCTTAGGTGTATTATTCAAGAAGTTCTAAGTTTGAATCTTTACAATTACTAATAAGGAGTAGCTACAAGAGACTTACTTGACCGTTAACTTTAGGATTTTGGAGGATTAGTTGAGGTGCACGCAAACTGGTCGGACACTTTCGGATACCAAAAAAAAAAAAAAGAAGAAAAAATATTAATCCATGATTAAATTAATGATTAATATGGTGCAGGGAATATGGACTGGGATGATCGGAGGAACTCTTATTCAAACTCTCATCTTATTATATGTCACATTTCGGACCGATTGGAAGAAAGAGGTAATTAATTAATTAATTACATTTCAATTATCATATGATTAATCAAAGACAAAGAGGTACAAAAACATGAATTGGCAACTATAACTACACCTAACATTCTTGTTTGATTTCGATTTTGATTTTGCTGAATTTCAATGCCAATCAATCACAGAATCATTAGACAAATTTAATTTAACGTTTTTAACTTCCAGTCAATGTTGACAATAACATAAGAAAAGAGATAACACAAAAAAGACTTTAGAAATATAAACAAAACGACAGCCTCAACCATTGTGTTCCTTGTCGTAAAATAATTAAAAATATAATACAATAAAGTGTGTGTAGAAAGTTAGATGAAAAGCTGTTTCCCATTAAGAAAAGTGGGATTTTTGTCATCTTGCAATTTGGAGAGGGATCTTAATCATTGTCTAATGAAACAAAATAAATAATTTAATTACAAATAGTTGAATAAAAACACTACGAATTGACACAATTAATGGGAGAATATAATGTTACGTTTGGTTCATTATTTTAATAATTTTTAAAATAGAAAAAAATTAAATTGGATGGGTATTAGGATGTAGGATTTAGAAATTAACAAAAATACCTTTTATGTTTGTTTATTTACTAAATACTCCTATAATAAAATATTAAAAGTTAATAAAAACACCCCCAATCCACCCATTAAATACGGACAGCCGACCACCACTGCCGGAGGGTGGTCGGGGTGTTTTTACAATTTCTAAAAAAAAATTGGGGGGTATTTAGTTAAATTAACAAATTTAGGGGGTTTAAAAAAATTGAATAATATAGAATAATATTGTGAGAATAAGCCAATTTTACTCTTTAACTTTATTGGAAAAAACCAGAATAATGTTCGGAAGAGTGAAACAAATGGACCCTTTGGTCTCTTAAGAAAACGTTTTACAAACTTAACGACAACGTGATAGGATTAGTGCAAAGGGGTATTCGTGATAAAATTTATAAACTTTGAGGGTTTGTTTGATAACACAATGGGGTATTCATAATACAATTTCAAACTTTGAGGGTAGTCTATGATAAAACCTGCAAAACTTATTATCCGAATGATAAATTTGGAAACCGTAGGGGTAGTCTATGGGGAGATTACCGCAATGAATTCATTATTCTGTTTAATTAATTCTTAAATTTTTATTGATTTTCAGGTTGAGAAAACAAAGAGTCGTTTGGATAAGTGGGAAGACCAGAAGGAGCCCATTTTGAATTAGTTAAAGCCCAATTTGAATTTGGGCCCAGTAACAACAATCATAGGAAATTCCTGATCCAACTTGAATTTCAAAGATCAGCCGTTCGTTAGTTCATCAATATTTCTTGCAATCTTCATTTTTTGTTCTTTCTTTTTAAGAGTTTGGAGTTGCAGATTTTCATTTGATCATCCATGTCTTATTATCAAGTGTGTAACTTTCAGTCGATTTTATTTTCTTTTGTTTACTTGGAAATTTAATTTCTTAAGGTAGATTTAATAGTGTGAAAATTAAAGTATAATAAAGGTTATCAAAATATTTTAATGTGGCAGATGAATATCTAGTCCGTGACCAACTATTTGTATTGACTATTGATTAGGAAAAAAATTTCAGTAAAATAAGTTTTTTTTTTATGACCAGGGTGTCTGACATATTTAACTAATCTGCAGACCCTTAAAACTACTGACTAGATAAGAGTTCCAGAGTGATCACTCCTATAGCAGCCGTGTGAATCAAAATCAGGAAATCATGTTATATGCATTAAATCTCACACAAATATTAAAAATTTTAAAAATATCCAAATTTCTTTTTTTTTTTTTGGGTAAAGAGGTGCGCCGAGGTGTCCGGGTCAGTTTACGTGCACCTCAACTATCTTCAATGTTTATTGAACACCTACAAGCCTAAAGAACCAAGTAAACCATAATATTATTATGGTAGATGACCCTAAGGTTAAACCTTGACTACCAGATTAATCTCTCGAGGTTAAAATACCCAAATTTACCCAAATTCATAGTAGAGAATCTTATGAAATATTGATACATATGACAGAAATATTTATATGCAAAGAATCCCACAGATTATTGTATTAATAAGTTGTCACGCGACTCATCATAAATATATATGAGATGGTCTTCACCAAACCAGAATGCTAAGAAATGATATCATCCCATTAAAATCTGTCAAATACTACCTTATAAGACAGTTTCAATAACTATTGTTTCGGTCGATGATTTTTCAGATTAATTGCATGGTAGATGCAGATGTAGATGGAGGGTGATATGCAATGGGGAGCAGCGAAACAAACAATAACACTACGAACATCGAAATATTAACACCGAATTTTTGTACCGACCTACGTGTAACGCATCTTTCCATTTTTTTATAATTTTTTTCTAGTTGGACGGTCGTTCACTCACATGAACGTTCATCCATATTATATGGACGGGCGTCCATATTAGAGGGATGGGCGTCCATATAATATGGACGCCTGTCCTTATTAAAATAAAATTAAAAAATATATAAAACCTTAGGGACGGCCGTCCTTCACCCAAATATGAAAAAAAAAAAATTTCTTTGGGGACACCCATCCACCAATTGTGGACGACCGATCCCTTAATTTTGGACGGTCCATGCATTTGGCTTTTGTCTATTCTTTATCATCTTCGCACTTCGTAAGCTTTATCTTCTCAGTCTTTCCGGTCTCTTCAGGTAACCAAAATTGTTGATCAACATAAAACTCTTCTATGAAACCGTAGTAGAAGAAATATACCGTAGGATAATTCCCAATCTTGTACTTCTTTGCCAACAGTTTTTCTTTTTCAGCATCCACTTTGACAACCACCAGATTGCCCTTACGTTTCATGGCCGCTGCTGAAGATTTTGGTGAGAGTCTATTTCTCCAGAAGTATTGTGACGAGTAAAAAACCACCATTACCTGCTGATTCTGAGTGATGAAGTTGTTGAAATTCTTCTCAGTCAATACCACCATTATTTCTTCACTGACAAGCACCGGACGTGGCGATTGAATCTTGCGATTGAAGATTTGAGTTAAACCCATAGCAGGATATACATCTTCATTGTTTCGTTTCGATGAGTAGAAGACGAGATTGAGATTTGGCACCTGTAGCAACAGGAGAATGAGTAGCTTGTATCAGTTCCACAGTTTTCCCCAATCCCATCTCATCTGTTAAAGTCATAAAAGACAAGCAAGTAAAGCCACATTAGATATGTGCATACTTGTGTTAAATGATTAAAAGTTGTACGAAAGTACACAATAAAAAAATACTTCCATTTCTCAGTGGAGTTTAGCAATGATCTTTCACGTCGAAATTACTCCATGAAAGGAAAAAGGAAAATTGCATATCCATATCCCATTCAGTTGTGGACACAAGTTCAGGCTAATGGGATATTNAATGAAGCTTTATAATAACAAGCGATACAATCAATGAAAGGGTATTAAGACAAACAACCAGAGTTGATAATGTGTTAAAAGAGCAACTAGAGGAGTGAGTATTTGCATTAATACTGAAAGCTAATTAATGGAAGCAAAATTTCTCCTACCTCCATAATCTGTTGTTGCAAGTTCAATAAAACTCAAAGCGTTTTTCAGAGAACAACAAATAATCTGCTGGTTAGAAGGGATAAGTTAATATTTATTTAAACTTTTATTGTATTTGAATTGGGGTTTGAATAACACCACTCTTATAAATATATATCAATATAGTTATCATATTTTGTGTGTTTTCTCTTTTAAGAATTTCATTATAATTTTATAAATGTCCTTAATACTGTTTATTGATTTTTTATATGGTTTTGTCATAATTTCTTCAATATAATTATAATTAGAAATCTAATTACTAATATTAAAGTCACTAACAAATAAGCTAATTGATATAACATTTGTTTTTCAATCAAAATCATCAGAACCTTTTTGTATTATGAAACCGGTAATTAATATATAACAAATAATATGAGCTATTATCAAATTTCATAATAAATAGAAAATTTGTGTTTGAAAAAAAAGAATAAAATTAAAACACAAGAAATGGAAATAGAATATAAAATAATGAGAAATTGTCATATATAACAAAGTGTGTAAACTATTTAGTCTTGCCAAGTAACTGGGTTTTGAACAGTAACAGAACAAGAATTGCTTTTGTATTCATTTTATATGTTCGATTGTTTAAAGAAATTGTAGAAATATATTGTTACTTTTTTCAATCCTTGAATTGTAAGAGCATTTTGAAGAGAATCATTGGACATTTGTTGTTATCAAAAGAGTTTTCAAGGGTTTTTTTTTTTCTTTCTAAAAGATATTTATTCAAAATTTTAATAGAAAATACACTTTAATAATTTAATACCTCTATTTCGAAACAATGACAATAAATTTAGACAAGAGAGAGTAAAAAATAATTTGAGAATCATAATATTTATGGCTCTTTTATTTTCTTATACTCAATATTCACTATATAAAAAAATTAAAATAAAATAACACAAACACAGAAAGGTATAACTAAACGTTTCCAATTTAGACAATTTACCTTATTGGGTTAATATTCAGATTTGCGCCTCGAGCTTTTGATGACCCGTGATCTATTACCCATGTGCTCAACTTTCGACTCTATATTTACGCTGGGTTAAACTCGTTTGACCAATCTTAAGCGTGGTGTTGTTTACTCCCTTATATTTTATAATCAAATCATTTGTATAACACAACTCCATGTTGCAAAATCATGACATTAAGTAATTTGTTCAACTTCTTTTTTGTTTGATATGGTGGATAAACTTCTAAATCACATTTTTGTTTGAGTAAAACTTTCCTTCATTTTTTTTTTTTTTTTTTTTTTTAAAGAGAGCAAACAAGTAAGAAAAAGAAAAGAAATATAATGTATAATTACAATAAAAATTACATTACAATGAAATCTCATTATTTATTTTGTTGCTATCTGAGATTAGAGATAAGAAAAGATAGGTTGGGAAGATTAGAAGGTAGAAAGAAGAGAGAGTATAAGTGGGGCTTAAATAAAATGTTTTTTTTTTTCCTCTTTTATGCTTGTTTACCCCCTTCTATTTATTTATTTACTTAAACCTATGAATTCCTTATTTTTGCATCCTTTGCTTCATAGAAATTACATGGAATTTGTGAATGGGGTGGGATTGGGATAAGAGAGGGAATAGAATAATTATTTCCTTGATTTGATTTATTGTAATATGTAATCCAATATAATTTTTTGAGTAGAAGACATGTTCCCACCCAAGGTTTAGCGAAATTCCAAGTTTCTACCATTGATTTCATAAATTTTAGATTCTCGCCCTTAAAATAATACCGTTAGTGATAGTTAATTTTGATACAGATGCAGAATGGGTTATTACCAAACTGCCCTCCCATCTTCTTCTTCTTCTTCTTCTTCATCTCCCCTCCTCCGCTGTTACCAAACTACCCTTCCATCTTCAACTTCTTCATCTGGGGCAAATGATTAAAAGGCCATATTGGCCTTGAATTTAATTAAAAGGCCAAGTAGTTTTTTAGTTTTTACTAAATGATCTTATTTTTTATTAAGATAAACTAATAACAATTAAACACTAATCATGGCTTAATTAGGATTAATGAAGTATTGTGTAATCTTTTAAAAATTATAATATGTCCCCCAAAAACCTGAAATTCTTGCAAACAAACCCAAACATAACATCTTCTTCTCTTCCTCCCGCCATTAACACATCCCTCCCCTGGTTGCTATTTATTCTAAGCTTCATCTACATCTTCTTCTTCCTCCTTCCTCTACATCTTCTTCTTCTTCTTCTTCCCGCCATTAACATTATCTTTTTCCTTTGCCATTAACATCTTCTCTGCCATAGATCCTCCTTCTCCCCTTCCTGACATTTCGTCCAGGTATGTGTATCTCCCATTTCCATTTTATATTTCGATTTGCAAAGATTTAATGATGGATTGGGTTTAGGTTTGGGTTATGATTTTGATTTAGTTGTTTAGGTTGTGGGTTGTGTTTGATGTAATGCAAGTTGAAAGGAGTGAAATTTATTGAATATTTTCTTGCATTGTGGGTAGTTGGGAGTGGTAACGCTGATTGTAGGTGGAGATGACTGAAAATGTGTTCCGCATATGATGGATCGCTTAATCGATCTGGTGTATCGCTTAAGCGATCTGGTATGTCTGGTATAATATAGCAGATCGCAGATCGCTTAAGCAATCATGTATATGGTAGAAGATTGCTTAAGCGATCTACTAT